GAGGCCACCTTCAACGGATTCGACCCCCTGGTTCTTGTAGAGGGCAAATTGTGGTTTACCACTTCCTAGCCTCCAAGCCACCAATCCTGCTTCTCATGGCCCTTCCAGTTGTTTCCCGCGTTGCCCCGAGGCTCCTGGTGGCAACTCCCACGCCTATTTTGTGGACGCCCGGGCCCACGGCGCCCTCGGGCTTGGTGCCTTTGGCCCTCGGACCCGTCTAGAGCTCACCCACGGCTCAGCTTTGCCTCCGGCCACCAAAAGCGCATCGCTTTTGAGCGAAAACCAGGTGACATGTTGCTTTGATCGGGCGAGAAGAAAACTTGAGGGACCCAGACCCGGTGGGACGGGACCAAGCCTTGGAGAAGTGTGGCAAGCCGGCAGACACCGCAAATCCTCCCTACCGGGATAAAAAGACCAACAAGTACAGGTCAACCAGGTATTGGCACCTGTGACCCGCCAAAGACAAAGAAAGCGGGGACGGCCGCCGGCAGCCTTTTGGAAACCTGAAGATTTAGACCTCCCAAAAAGGGCTAGATGCGGCTCCGGGAGTGTGATTCGAGGCCTACAACCGCAGGCGACAAGAGCGTGAGGAGCAGCGGAAGAAAGAGGAGGAGCTGGGAAGCCCGGCGAAGAGGAGAGAAAGACAAGTGTCAGCCACTCATGTGGACAACCCGCGTCGCACCAGGGATGGACGACACCCTGTGAAAGGGATAAACCTGGCAATGTTGTCCGTGCGAACCCAGTATGAATGCGATTGGGGGGTGTCCCACTTGAGCTAAGCGGGAGGCTTCACTTTTGCCCCGTATCAATCCACTAGGTCCACCAAGCGGACAACCCGAAAAATACCCGAAGCCAGACCACCCAATTTTCCATGTCTTTGGGGGAAACAAGTACTTTTGTCCAGGCCCAACTGCTCTGCGAGCTTCGGGGGCGAACAGGTTGGGCCATCAATCACCATATTGCTTGCCCAAGGCGGCGTTGATACACCGGGGAAGGGGATCCGTGCGGGTGCGCAGAGCACAAGCAATGGACTGTGACAGGACTGGTGCCTCGTCCCCCCCCCTCCCCAATCCTTTTTTAGCTGTCCCAAGGTCCCACGTCCCAACGCCTGTTTCAGCCATGCGACCGGATCGCTATCCCCGCTCTCTGGTTGGACCCTTTTGATCCTTTCAATCGAACTGAACAGTGGGGTGGGAAAATGGGACGGTGGACGGTGGATTTCTGAGATTGCAAGCTTTACAGAGATTTGCTTGAGACACTGGGGTTCCATACAGCTAGCGTGGCTGCTACGGGCATGAAAAATGACCCATTGAAAGTCCCGACTCCCTTGCATTCTCTGGGCATGGATCACTTGTTGAGATGACCCTGGGACGTCATGGACCGCATGTGTCCGGCAGGCCATGGACCCCGATTTTTGGGGATCATGGCGGATGCATGGGTCCATGTTGATTTGGCATCCAGTGCATGCATCGCTTGCATCCAGTCCATGCATCCTTTGGCGGACCCATGTTGATTTGTCGGGGGAGCAACCGCTGGAGCGGGACGTCTCGGAAATTGTCGCGAGGCGCCGTCAGCCGCGCGGCGGCGAAAGGGACCGAGAGCGCGAGCCGCCGCGGGACCGCGAGCCGCCGCGTGACCGCGAGCCGCCGCGGGACCGCGAGCCGCCGCGGGACCGCGAGCCGCGGGAGCCGTTGCCGGGGGCCCTGGGCACTCGTTATTAGATCAGAGACGACGGGCTCACGTGCTTGGAGGACAAAGGCCCTTTTTAATTTTGGACGTGCACCGGTGGTGGCCGCTTCCGGTTTCTTGCTTTCAGTGGAGAGCTTTTGTGTTTTTACCCACACTTTTTCGTGGTTGTTTGCTTCCCGGACCAGCTCTTGCAGGCGTCGGGAAGAGCGGCCGGCTCGCGAGGCGCAGGCGTGAGGGGGAAAGGGACCTGGAATGGTTCTGCGGTGGGTTTCGCATGGTCCCTTTTGCACCTGCCTCTTGAAATGTTTCTTTCAGGATTGTATCATGAAAGGGGTCAGTCCAACCAACGCCTTGCCTCACTTCAAGGCGGAGGAACATGTCACCAAGGTCCTAAGCTGGCTGATTTCTGACAGCCTGACAGGGTGCTTGGCAAATTGAGTCGAACTGTTTCCCAGTTTCAGTGTTGCCCATGTGGCCCCGGCCGCTTGTGGGGGGTGTTCGTGTTGGGTCCCAGGCATCCAACTTGGAGCCCCAAAATAACAGCGCCGGGAAGAAGCCGCGAAAGGCTATCAACCAGGCCGGACGATTGAAAGGCGGGTTTCTCTTCTCGTTGCTTGCTGTGGCGGATGATGTTGAGGATGTCACTTGAACACACCAACAAATCATTCCCTTCCCCCCCGTTTGCCGGTGCCTTGGACACTACGACCCTAAAGAAGGTGTGCATGCAACCGTACCCATGTCCTACAGTGAGTACAACAAACACGTCCAAGGAGATTCCCCCCCCTTTGTCAAGTGAGTGCCCAAGCAAGCCCTGACATTGCCACTTTCTTTGTAACCATGCTTGTAGATCCGGGTCGTTTCTTGGGTTTAAGGTTTAGGGTTTAGGGTTTAGAGGGTTCAGGGTTTTTGACGTTTGGCCTGAGCCAAACGTCGAGTTGCCAGGAGCCCAAGCGCCAGGTGGTGCGGCAGATCCAGGACTTTGGGGCGTGTCCCTTTTTCTGAGGCTGTGTAGCCTTTTTGGGCGTTCAAAGGGAGAAGCGCTTTGAGGGGGTCCCCTAAACAAAATACACACATGCAAAGAACACTTCAACCGGGGCTGGGGCTGGGGCGCCCGTTTTAGTGGAAGCCCGTTTCTTAAGCCAAACAACTCCGGCTGTTCACAATGAAGTGGACCACTTAAACTTAGTCAGGTTTCAATGTGAATGATGCACCCGTTATTTTCAGCCTGTGTTGTCCCTCCAAAATACGGGGGGTGCGAACAGGGTGCAGAGAGCCCCGGGTTTGATTTGTCAGAACTGGGACAGTTTTGATTCGACGGGTATATCTTAAATGGGGGATCCCCAAAATGGTTTACAGCTTTCAAGCAAGAGCGCGCTGAGGTAGGGGACAGAACATGCTTGGTTGGCTTTCAGTTTTTTTGGTGCTCTTGCCTGTGGGGGGGCCAACTTATTTTGGGTCATTCCTAAGGTTTCACCAGTACTCCTGACCCTATGGTGGGCAAGGGGGCCTACTGCCGCCTTGAGAAGAAAACAAACATGGGTTTCAAGCGGGCCCAAATTTTGAGACCAAAGGATTTTCGTTTTCGAAGGTTGTTCTTTTTCTGGTTGGTTCCTTCTGTCGGTGTGCATTGGAGACACTTGTTTCGGAAGGGCCTGGAAGCTTGGCTCGGCAGGACATGAAGGAGGTCATGGACAGACAAGCAGAGGAGGAGTCGGGGCCTGTGCAACCTTTGGCTGGTTCCTTGCCCTGTTCGTCTTTTTCCATCTGTTTTCTTTCTTCAGCATGTTTGCTTCAGTTGTTTTCAATGTTTCCGCTTTGTGTTTGTGCGGTATTTTCGGCTCGAGCTTTTCACTTTACCTTGGCGGGAGTTGAGGGCTTTTGCACTCCAGTCCCTTCACTTTCCAAATGAATAACCTATGGCGGAAACCCGACGATTAGGAACCCATCAAGAGTCTTCTAACACCATCCAACAAGGCTCCCTGTTCTCAGGCAGACTCACATGATTTGGCCCGCATGTGAAGGGTTGGAGCTCCTTGAGGAGATTGGCACCTGCAAAGACCGGACAAAATGAACCTGGGGGGACAACCCAGGTTTCCCACAAGACTGGGGGCACAGCACAGCTATCCCATGTTCTTTGGAGGAAGCAACTATTGCTTGGGCTGTCCCGATCTTTGGGCCTATGTTCCATCGCCGGCAACTGGTTTTGTCGGGGTCCATGTGCTTTTCCTTGGAGCCATGTGCTTTGGCCAAGGCGGGCATTTCGCCCTCAAACACCAAAACCCCCAAATGTCATATAGCATCTCCAAGTGTCTCGGGGTTCCGGGAACGGGGGGGTGGGGGGGAAACGGGGTACGAACCCGAAACGCCAAATTGGCCCCAGTGGCAACTCTGGACGCCTGCCAGAACTGCGCTGGAAAGGGTGTCCCTCACAGGTGTCCTTTTTGGTTGTTTTAGTCGAACAATAGATTGCGATTCCTGATTTCCCTGGTTTAATCATCTACCAGGGAAACCCATCTATTTCCAACCTCAAAGGACCCTTCCTTCGTGGGATGGGTTTCCACCCGCTTCGGCTCCCCGAGGCGCCGGCAGGTGGAGGAGCTGAAGCGCCGCGCCGATGAGCGCCGGGCTCCCAAGACGCGAGAGAGAGAGAGAGAGAGGCAAGGCGTCGGGTGTGCCAGGCACGGCTAGAGATGTGTGTGCGCGCACATATATATATATATATATGTACACATACATATATATATATGTACACATATATATATATATACATATATATATATATATATATAGATATAGGGTTTTTGGATTTGGTATCCTTTAGTTTTTCTTCTATTTTTCTTGGCCATGTTGGTAGCACTCAATGTCAATGGCTTTGGGTCTCTGAGCTTGTTTTGAAGAGAAATCCAGAGGAGTTTTGCGAGAGTTAGTATCCTTTTTGGTGTTTGTTAAAGGGACTCAGACAAACCCGCATGCAGCTCCCCTGTTGCCGGTCGCGACAGCTGGGCCTTTGTGGAGGACCCAAGTTCAGGATGCCATTTGACGATAAGCTTGCGTGGACTGAGCTCAGGGTTAGTGAGGGTAGTTGCGGATCCTGGACGTGCAGTGGGAGAATGCTTGCAATCTGTACAGCATGGTTGACGTTTTCGGAGTTCGTGTCCTTTTCAGGGTTTGTTAAAAGGGAAACCAAACAACAATCACCGGTAGGATCGCGCCAGGGTCAAGAGATCCTGGTCCCCGATCCGAGGACGGAAGCGGGAGGAGGAGTTCCAACGGAAGATGCAGAGCATCATGGACAAGACGAAGACCAGGGAGTCCGGGACCCCAGGTTTGTTGCGCCTGTGAGACTTGAAAAACCTGAGGCTGCTTCTGCGCCGAGGGAGGCAACATGCTTCAAGTTTCGGGGACGGGTCAGAAGGGCCTCGAAGGGAGCAAAGGCCGTGCCTGAGCTCTTCTCTCTCTCAGGGGATCTGCTGAAGAGAACACAAGTTGGATCGGCTCCAAACGCACCTGGCATTCGCTATGGTTATCTTGCAGCATTCGCTATGCCTATCTTGCATCACGTTGGGTCCGCCTCAGCTGTTTGTATTTTGTTGTGTTGCGGCAGCACTTGAACTTGTTGGACTTGGCTGGACAACAAACTTGTGGTGGTTTGGCAAAGAGTGGAACCCAATAGCCATAAGCGTCCTTTTGGTCAGTTTGGTTGGACAGATTGTCAGATGGATTCCACTGGTTTCAGTTTGGTTCAGTTCTAAGAATTTACCTCCAGGATCCAGCGATTTTTCCAAAAGGACGCCTGCACCAGCCGCAGGCGGCTCTTGTTTGGGGGACCATTCCACCCTCAGCTCGGCGTTTTATTTGGCGGCCGTTTTGCTCCAGGCGGCTCACCGATTTTGCGGAAACCTGCATGGGTCGATCCGGAGCCATGGATCGGGAGCAACGGCTGTCTGTGAAGGCACCGGACCCCCCAACCCAACAGAAGTTCCGTGCCTTTTTCTTTTTCGCAAGGAAGCGGAGGGTCTCCACTTTGAGAGCTGGAACGAGGGGGACCAACTGATTTGGACAGTCAACGCGCCCGGCAGGAAACAGTCAGGGTGGGAAGGACAGTTCCTGCTGGGATACCTGGGAAACAGTTAACGCACCGCGCCATGTGGGAGGAGCGTCTCTCACACACTGTCGTGTTTCTTTTTCTCCTTTTTTCTTCTTTTTTTTGCTTCTTCTTCTTCTTCTTCTTCTATTTTTTCTCTTCTTTTTTTCTTCGCGAATTGTTTGTTGAATTGTTCTGCAAACATAGTGCTTAAAGTGTAGCCAGGAGAGGCCCGTTTGCAAAGAGGACTGGGGCCAAGCCACAAGAGCACCACAACGGCATATTGTCACTTTGCCCCTGGTGGTTTGGATTGGTGGTCTGGGGATTCCCTCCCCTGTAAACCCAATGGGAGACCGAAACCGAACCATCGAGGCGCTGGTGGCGGGCTGTGGAGCCCTGGGCCTTTGGGCCGCAGCCCCCGCCTTTGCGGTGGCCGCGCCACGCGTGGCCGGCCCGGCGGGCGTGGGCGCAGCGGGCGCAGGGGCGCGGGCCCAGGGCGCCCCGCGCGGAGTAGGCGGGGATCCTTGGGAGGTTTGGAGTGGTTTCTGATTTGAGGTGACGCCTGTTGATAGCCGCTCAAAGCGTTTAGCAAGGGTTTCCAGTGGACAGTTCTTCGTTGCTTGGCTTCTTGTTTTTTTTTTTTTTGCTGGTCATGTTGTTGTTCTTTCTTTTCCTGTTCTTTTGCCTTCTATTGTTTTTCTTGGCTTCTTGTTTCATTCCTTCCAAATTCCCTCCAGGTGCCCCGGTGCTGGGCGCTGCGTTGTGCGCCGCCTCCGTGTCCCTGGCCCGGCGCTCGACGCGCGCCAGCGGCGCCAGCGCCACGGCGCGGCAGGCGGTGCTGACGCTGGGCACGCGGGGCTCGCCGCTGGCGCTGGCGCAGGCGTACGAAGCCAAGAAGCGGCTCGGGGAGGCCGGGACTTGGGGTTTTGAGTCGGTTTGGGTTTGAGTTCTTGGGAGGGGGGTTGAGGGATGAGCGATGGGAACCACGGTGGGAAACTACTGGGTTTCGGAAGGTGAGTGGTCGGGCTTGTCCAACCCCCAAAAGTAAACTGCGAGCAAACCAATCCAAAAGGACATCAAGGGTTTGCGTCCTTTGGAAGTTCTCTTAGATGTTCTTTATGGGAGGGTGCACCAAAGAGGAGAGTAAGGTGTCAAAAAACGCCAACTAATGAGTGCAGGTCCGTGAAACTTATTGCGTTCTGTGGAATGAACATGGATGCTGGATGGATTTGGGCCAATTGGATTCACAGGCTAGTAAAACGAGCTCATTCCTCATTTCCGGTTTGGACACTGGGTTTCATTTGTCATAGAACTCAAAAAGACGAACAGGGGCCCGGGTTTGCCACGTTGCCGCTGTCCCAAGCAGCTGCTGTCGGTGCTGTCAGTTTGAAGGCCTTCGAGGAGCTCGCGGGCGACGACGCGGTGGAGATTCGCATCATCTCCACCACAGGCGCGCGTGGGCCGCGGGCTTTTGGGTGTGGAGGGTCCCTGTGCCAAGGGTTCTTGTCGTTCATCTTCTGGGCTGAAGGAAGGCCTTTCCGGCAAATGCTCATGTTTTTCTTTTTGGCGTTTTTTGAAGCCACTTAAAACTTAAGTGAACTTCGGGGCCAAACAATTTGGGTGTGCCCGTGTTGCACCGACCGGTTCCCGACGGGTTCCCTTCCATCTGGCCAAAGCAGTTCGCCTTTCGCCTCGGCGATCAGGTGACCAGCGCCTGGAGATCTCGCTGGCGGAGATCGGGGGCAAGGGCCTCTTCACCCGAGAGCTGGACGTGGCGCTGGCCTCCAAGGAGCGATGGCTTCGGATCCAATGAGCCAACCCACAAAGGGTACTCACCAAAAAAGGAGAGACGCATCAAGAGCCGAATCAATCTCGGCCTTCGGAGAAGAGTTGAGTCGAAGTCCTTCAGATGGGCTTCCAGCGTTGCAGGTGTCCGACTCTGTGGCGAGCGACGCCTATTGAGTGCAACAAATGTCATGGGCCCCATTCTCATTTGGTTGGGGAGGAGCCGCATGCCGCAGTCTACTCCAAAGGGCTTCAACTCAGCCAAAGGCGGCTCTCACGCCTTGGAGAAACAATGGCTTCCCCCCAGAAGCTGACCTATGCAACGATCCTCAATCTTTCCTTGTTGGTTGGAAAAGACCCCGTTGGGTTCTTTGGCTTTGGCCAGTCCTAATCCGTCCACAGGACACCACAACAAGAGAAACGGCTCCCTCTTCAGGGGTCATCACTTCAGAATAACACCATCCATCATCCAAGAAGGGCCCCACTTCATTTCCAGCGAAAAGGGGGGGTGTCAACGGCATTTGGCGGGTATTTGGTGCTGTGTTTCTCTGGTTTTTTGGCAATTCCTGGGGCTGGTTTCCAAGGGTGTTCCATTATGGCAGATGGTCGCCCTCGGATTTTTCGACATTTCGCCGGTTGAACTAGGCATGCGAGTCCGCGAGTCCCTGACTCATTCCTTCCACCAGGAGGTGGACTTCTGCGTCCACTCCACCAAGGATGTGCCCACCGATCTGATCCCGGACACCGAGCTCTGCACCATGCTGCCCCGCGAGGCGGGGCGTGGCTTGAGCGATGTCGAGTGGTGTGACCGTTGGGTGGCCCTCCAAGTGGTGGACCGAGGCCTGGGTGGTAGTTAGGGAAAGCCAAAGGAGACGGTTGCAATTTTAGAACATGGACCGATTCCAATTTTAGGACATGGCTTGTCCTTTGGGTGCAAGCGATCGGAACCCTACCCTGGCATGGTCTGGGTGTCGAGGGGTCATTTTCGGATCAGGTCATGCATCTCCCTATGTCCCAAGTGATTCCAATCTCGGCCCCCCATCAAAGTCAACCAGAACAGATCAACTTTGTGTTTGGTCAGAAAAGACCAAGAGACCAAAGACCCAAGTGGTGCCCCCTTCCGAGCCCAACGCCAACAGCGGCCCCAAGCCCCGGCTCCGCGCTCAGGACACCCGGGACGTGCTCATCAGCGGGGACGAGGCCATCAAGAGCATCGAGGACTTCCCGGACGGCTCCCTCATCGGCACCGCCTCCCTGAGGCGCCAGGCCCAGATCTACGCCAAGAACCCCAACGCGCCTCTCCGGCAAGCCCAAAAAGAACACGGCAAATTTTCAAGGGGGGGGGTTGCTTTATTATTATTATTATTATTATTATTATTGTCATCTTTTTTTTTCTTCCCCCAACGGCCTCTCCAATTTCGACTTTTGTGGTTGGCTCAAAAGTCGGTTGGGGTAGCCAAACTAGCCTGTTTTTGTTTAGCCCCGATTGTAGCTTTTGGTTTATGGGCCCAAACATGGAATACCCCTTCTGTCCCACAATGTTCCAACCCAGAAGAGAGGAAGATGGTCTTGGGTATCCGGCTTCCCATTTCGACCTTTGCCCTTTTGCACTCTTGGAGTGAGCTGATCCCTCCATTTTGTGTGAGAAAAGCCCAACCTGAGGCCGTTCGAACTTTTCGTCCGGTGAATCACCGGTCAAGGACACCATTGAAGGTCGAACACGAAGCCGGGAAAACCAAACCGGGGAGCGCAGAGTGGGGGGGAGTGTGGAAATTCGCCCTGGCTTTTTGTGAGGTGGGAGGAACTTCGACTCCCATGACATTTGGGTGTTTTGTTTTGAGGCTACTGTTTTTAGGTTGGTTAGGGACACCACGCAACCTGAGTACATTTTTTGGGTCCCGCTATGAGGCACCCTCAAAGGGCGGTCCAGCCGTTTGCTTCCGACCTTTTGAGTCCATCGCTCGGTGCCTGAGGTGAAGTGCGTGAACTTCCGTGGCAACGTGCAGACCAGGCGCGCCGCGCTGCTGCCGGGTCGACGCATGAACGAACCTGGCAGAGGGGCTGTTTGCCGAAGAAAGTGAAGTGCCCTTCTGAAATCATTCTGATGAGGACCCCCTCAGCAAAGGGTAAATTAAAGGTCAAACCCAAATGTGACACCAAACAAACAAAGTGTTAATCCTGGGTTGACTGGCACGGGGCCCGCAGAAACACTTCCGGCCCTTCAACAAGATGAACCTTGCTGATGGCAGTTTGCTTGTGGTGTTCTAGATCCGGTCGAAACATTTCGGACTTCTTCTTGGGGCCCATGTGGGTCGCTTTGCCAGGGTGTTTCGTCAAGTGCAGCTTTGCTTCAGCGTACCTACCAGTTTATCCACCACCTCAATTTATCCACCAGGATTTCATGACGGTTGCAGAATTGCACCAAACTTCCCGGCATTTTGG